TAAAAATGGTCCAAAGAGGCTTAGCTTCTAATTTGACCTTTCTACTAGTTATTAATATTAACTCTTAAGCTTGTAATTGCAAAATGGTAGAATATAAAGTCAGCATTTGCTGTCATTATAATAGCAAATGAGTGTTAGCTGAGAATGAAATTAACCTATAAATAACATTTGGGGACCAATTAGTATTGCAATCTGGGTGGACCCAGATTTAAGAAGTCTGGAGAATGTGTGCTGCAATTTTACCAAATGGCAGCTGTCTTTACTGCTTTAGGCTGGGGGTTGGAATGACATCACTCGTGAGTCAGGGGTTATGACCAGGACATCTGTCATGTCAGAAGGCCTTGCCTCTGTGGAGTTCGGGAGAATGTAGACAGAGTGGCAGAAGTCAAGGTTCCTGGTAACTTTGGTTTTTTTTTTTTTTTTTTGCCGGTCATGAGGCCTGAACTCTGGGCCTGGGTGCTGTCCCTCAGCTCTTCAGCTCAAGGCTAGCGCTCTACCACTGGAGCCATAGCGCCACTTCCGGCTTTTTCTGCTTATATGGTGCTGAGGAATCGAACCCAGGGCCTCATGCTTGCAAGGCAAGCACTCTACCGCTGAGCTACCTTCCCAGCCCCTTCCTGGTAACTTTGGGTTGGCCCACTTCAGTGACACGGCCTACGCCACTGTAAGTGTCCCAATCAAGGACGCTCCATTGTGATGTTCCCTGACTGACACAAGTAAACACACAAAAACCGGTTAATACTATTTCTTTTCCTTGTATTTAAATATAGCTAATAAGTACTTCAAAATGAGGACCTAATGAACTGTTGGTTGCTTTGTTGGTGAATGTGGGTCAATACCCTGCTGTACTCTGGAGCTGCAGGAGACAGCGCCCAACCCTGCAGAGCGCCGCACGTGTACACCCAACACACCACAAAAACATGCGGTCACACTCCATTTATTTTACTGAATTTAGGTTCAAATTCAGCTCAGATCCAAACATCAGACAGAAGTGTATTGGAATCACAAGGAATAAGCACACGGTCTATGGATCCTGTACAAACCTTTGCTTTAGTGATTCCCCAACCTGGGAAGTGCTAAGACACTCACCACCCATGAAAATCATCTTCCTCTAAAAGGAAAAACATCACATTAAACAACAACAATAAAAAACCATTTAAAGACGCTCCCTTAGCTTCTGCAATTCTTTTTTTTTGTCGGCCGTGGGGCTTGAACTCTGGGCCTGGGCGCTGTCCTTCAGCTCTTCAGCTCAAGGCGAGTGCTCTACCACTTGAGCTACAGCGCCACTTCCGGTTTTCTGGTGGTTTTATTGGAGATAGGAGTCTCACGGTCTCTCCTGCCCGGGCTGGCTTTAAACCTCGATCCTCAGATCTCAGCCTCCTGAGTAGCTAGGATTACAGGCGTGAGCCACCAGCGCCCGGGCCAGCTTCTGCAATTCTTAACTGTAAAATTAATTTCAATGTCATTTTAATTAGCAGAACAAAGAGTCCTCCTAGGTTGGTCACACATTCATTACTGAACACTGAAATAAATAATTCACTTAAAGGTAGCTTTGCTGTATTGCACATGGCCACGCAGAATCTGAAAGCTCATATTTTTTAAAGCATGAAAAACATATTTACCTCTCAAAGTTTCTTGCTAAGTGCTAAGTGCTCCTTATAAGAAAAACTATTCTAAGTAGGCCTGAGTTTAATGTTCACAACACTGCTCACCAAAAGTTGATTACACTAGTGTGTGAGCGTGGAGAAGAGTGTCGGAGCTGCCCAAGCCTCAGGGTGACATCACGGTGGCAGGCAGAACCCCCAAGATGCTGACCTAAAGCCCACGCAGCCTCTTTATCACACAGCCCCTGAGCTGGAAGCATCTGCCTAAAGTCAGCAGGTTAGGGAAAAAATGTACCAAAACATAGGTGCAAATCCACAATAGTGTTTCCCTGTGCTGTTTCTACGAGACCTGTAACAGTTTTGAGAACATCCTCTCGAAGTTTAAAATGGCGTACAGAGTAACACATTGGTAAGGCCGTGGAGATAAACACTTGAGGCTGGGAGTCTTTCCATCAAGACTTGGCACAATACATGTCCCATTGACAATGCTCGTTAGCAAAGCTCCCTTTCTGATTTCTTTTGCTTCTTAGGGTTAAGTACTCAGCCACCTTCTTAGTCAGCCTTTAAACTACCTGAATCCCGTCCTCCCGAGTCAAGCTTCTCTTTTGCTGTGTCTTACTTCCTGCCTGCATCATTTATACAATACTGGGGAGAGGGTATCCCCCCTCCATTCCCCTCTCAACAGAGCCCAGAGAAACTCAACTCTGGAATACAATACACGTTGGCTGCAGACACAGCACAACTAGCGCCCAGGAAGCTTATTATTTGAATTTGGGAGAGACAGGTTTCTTTTTTCTTTCTCTTTTTTTTGTCGGTCATGGGGCCTGAACTATGGGCCTGGACGCTGTCCCTCAGCTCTTCAGCTGTAGACTAGCGCTCTACCACTTGAGCCTCAGCCCCACTTCCGGCTTTTTCTGCTTATGTGGTGCTGAGGAATCGAACCGAGGGCCTCATGCATACAAGACAAGCACTCTACCACTGAGTCACCTTCCCAGCCTAAGATAGGTTTCTTAAAAAATAATCAGTGTCTTAAAAATAATCTAGGAGCAGAGATAAGAAGAAAACTCGTGCGTAAGCAGATGTCAGGTTGAAGTCTGGCCAATTCTCTTGCCCTCTTTTGGGCTCCATGACAACCAACTATGCTGCTGGATTAAGATGCTGCCCCGTTTCCTTCCTAGATTGTTCTCCCAGGCCAGCGCTACAGTGGATCTGTGCAATGGTTGTCCTGAAAGCACATTTAAGTGAACGTCTTGGTCTCCAGCCTGGCGCTATGGGAAGGTAGTAGAACTACCGAGAGGTAGTGCTCAAGTATCTTCCAGTCACCGGGTCATGCCCTTGAGTGGGGGGTGAAGGAACCTGGGCCCTCGTCTTCCCCTCTAGCTACAGACCACGAAACAAGCAGTTTTGTTCCACTATACACTTCCGCTATGGTGTCCTCACCATGGACCCAAACAATGGGCCCACTGATTCTGGACTGAAACCTCTCTAGTCATGAGCCAAAACAAACCTTTTCTCTTTCTAAGCTGATTGCCTCAAATATGTGTTACAGTAATAGAAACTGTAAGGGCTTTTTAGTAAGTATTTTAGGCTTTCTTGGCTTTGTAAAGTCTCTGTTGCATGTTCTTCACCTTTTTGTTTTTGAGACTGGATCTTGCTGTGCTCAGGCTAGACTTGAACTAGCAACCCCTCTTGCCCCTCAATCTCCCCAATGAAAGGATTACAGATTAACTTTTTAATTAAAAATCCTTTGCTCACAGGTCTTGAAGCCCTGCTTCAAGGAGCTGTCAGAGGAGCATGGCTTTACCACATAAAGTATTTGGGATGCTTTGGGTGGAGGGGGGGTGTGTGTCTCAGCAGCAGGGATCCTTAGGGTTGGCTGAAGACCTCTTTGGTTGGACAATTTGATCTCCCAAACTGCCAAGAGCTGGACCAAACTCACATCCCTCATTTAAAGAGGGGCAATTTACGGGAGAGAGTCTTAATGAGGCTCTGTAGATCTGTTCCTGAGCTGGCTTCCCTTTGTCCTGATTTTAAAGAAAAAATTTCTTTCTACATGTTACCAGGCTTTACAATTCCAACTGGATGGTAACAAAAAGCTAAAGTGTAAACATACATCTTTTGACACTGACACCATCTGTGGTCCACAGAGCCACCTCTCCTATGAGTCCAAGGCGGGCACACTGGCCCCATGGCCTGCTGAGACACTATGACAGGCTCATCCGTGGCTGGATGTAAGCAGATGGGGGTTCACAGGGACACTCATTCCAGTGTTGGGCTTTCTGGAACAAGCCTGCCTATTAACTCTAACACCAACCACCTCCTCTAACTCCCACCTATGACTTTGTCATTGCTAGAATGTTCACTCCGAAGAAGAGAATTTGCTTTCCTTTTTTAAGTTTGTAGTCTTTAAAGTCATCAGCATGCAGTATATCAGAACTTTTTTCTTAAGCAAAATAGGGCTTCAGAATTTAAATTCTCTAAGCAATGATTTTCTAATTTGTACCTAATGGTTCTCAAAATCCACTATCAGCTACATGAATTTAACTGCTTTAGTGAGGAAATATGTGTACACACACATGTACTCCCACAAAAAAAAAACTTCTAACAAAAGCTATGAGAAGTCCTAAACTTTTTAACAAAATGAATTGTTAAAATTTAAAAACACAACAAAAAATAAACAATAACAAAACCAAGTTCAAACATGCCAATCCGTTGTCCTTTTTGGGTTTTTGCTTAAAATGTCAAATTTGTTTTCTTCAAGACCTGAGTTTATTTTTTTGTGTTAAATTCAGATGTCTTTCATAGTGTGGACTTACCACACCATTGCCAAAGTTGGTTGCGAATACAGTAGTGACGATGAGAACTGGTCAGGTGATAGAGGCTCTCCCAGATACAAACACTAGATGACCTTTCCTTACGGGAGTTGAGGGCAATACTGAGCTTGAGCTGCAAGAGACGAACACAGGTAAGCAGCAGAACTGTGCTCCTGAGCAATGTCCCCGTGCCTCCAATGAGCACCAGCTCTTGTCCTGACAGTCAAACAAGGAAACTATGAATTGCCTAAGTTTTTAAAAACCGAAGTGTCTCAAGGCTGCAGAGGATCCATGGGCAGGTAAAGCGACAGCAACGCAAGGGGCAGGGGAGTATTTCCTGAACGAAAGCGCCAGTCAATTCTGACGCGAGTGCCTGCAGGACACTCTGTGCCTCGCCCGGGTCCTTGCAGCTATCACAGGCACACCTCATGCCCAAAGCTCACGTCTTTCACCTCTCAGTACCGCCTGGTGTCTACTGTTACCTATTTTGGCTATGAATGATTTTGAATGCTTGTATCAGCAAAGTAAACACATAAAGTGATACCTGAGCAATAAATAAAAATGAAGCGCCATTCTCCTTAGGTTGAGCTTTTGAGACAGCATTTGCATTTTGATTCTGTACAAGGAACTCACCAATAGAAGGGAAAGTATCTTTTCCACTTGTCCCACACAAAGTGCATTTGTTGATAATTTAACATACCATAGAATAAAACAAAAATTTTTACTAATTTTTGGAGAATATCCTATGCAGCAAGAGTCCAGTGAATTTCCCTTTTCCTACTCCTCAGTTTAAAGCTGTAGTCCTAACAGCTGAACGCTGCACTGCCAGACATCAGGACTTACAAACAATGGGTGTTGTTTTCACAAAAAGACAGGGAAAAACAAAATATCAGAGTATGTGGAGGTGAAACCCTGAGGCAAAAGTGGCTTTTCGCAGAGGCAGTCTTGCTGGAGCAGCTCACAGCTCACAAGGGGCCGGGGCCCTTCTGGGAGGACAGGCCCTCCTCCAGCCAGAGGGCCGCAGCTGAGCCACTGCGTGGTGCTCGCCGGTGGAAACGCTGGAGCCGCAGCAGGTAGAGGAGGATGGACAGCAGGACCACGAGGAAGCAGCCCGAGAACAGGTAGTGGTTGTAGACAAAGGAGACGCCCCGCCAGTGCGCATGACTAGCCCGGAAACTCTCCTGCTGGATGTCCCTGCCCACACAAAGACAAAACCAGAAACAAACAGGACGGTAAGATGGTGAAGGGACAGCGCTGGTGTGAATGCGCCTCTTGGTACAAGTGCTGGTGAGTGAACACTGGTGTGAGTGCTGGTGTGAACACTGGTGTGAGAGCTGGTGTGAGTGCAGTTCTTCAGACATAGCTTAGAACCTGGTCACTGAGGCTAGTTTCCTTTCCTCTGAAACTGCAGACACTAGGCTCAATGTAGGGCCCTTGTTACCTCTAGTTTCCAGCAATATAATCTGAGTAACGGAATTAAGAAATTTACAACCGTGAGCGTCTCACCTGTCCATGGAAGCTGGTATGAAACCAACACAAAATGCAGCTACGTTTGAGGTGATATCTGCATTACACAATTTCTGTAGTGGATCCAACTGCTGCACTGCTGCAGCGTGCTCAAGTAAATGGTGGAGTACGGTTAGTACTTCATTTATCAGGGTGCTGAGCATGGGTGACCTGAGGGAGGTCTATAAACTTGAATGGGGAAAAATACCAGTCTTCAACTAAAACTTAGTCTTTCCTTTGATTATGACAGTGGACAACAAATAGATTCGACACAGCTCTGACTATGTAACTGATGGGAACGCAGCTTTCCTGATGTCCAACCTTTCAACACTACACCAAAATGACCGAAACGATCCGTCAGACCCTGTGAAGCCTTGCTACTTAGTATTCATAAAGGCCACGTGTCCGCCTTCATGCAAACTTCCTTTAAGTTTGATAAACGTATGTCAAAACGTCTACAATCCTATTCAACAGTAGTGAGAAGGGGTCCAAGGTCAGAAAGGCCAATTGCCTCGGATTTAACCATTTTGCAGCAGTTAGGGGCACCGCACAAAGGAGCTGTGCACTGTGTTGGGGGATGGGGAAGACCACAGTGAAGTCCTCCGCCCACAGACAGCTCTGACAGCAACACCCCAAATGTTGGAAAGCGCAGTCACTAAGAGCCCTGAACCACAGACATTTCTTGTGACTCTGTGCCACATTTGCAGCCTACCTCAGGGGCAGGAAGCGAGTCCTGTAAAGGATGGCCCCCAGGGTCCACTGCACTTCCTTGTCATACACCTGCAAGGCGGTCTTTAGGCTTCTGTAGTTGATGGGAAAGGAAAACCCTCTATGGAACACCTCAAACATCCAGGCGGATTTGAAGCACTGATACCTGCAAGTGCCAAGCACAAACAAAGTCAGGTGGACTCCTCTGGCAGAGACTGCATGCACAGGCGGAGGCAAGCTGGCTCTCTGAGCAGCCAACTGAACGTGCTTCCAGCTGATCTTCCTGGCTCTAGGCCCTGTCCCACAACACAGAACAGTTCATCTGTCAAAATCAATTAGCCCACCTGGTTGGTAGCTTATTCCTGTAATTCTAGTAACTTGGGAGAGAGAGAATCATAGTTTGAGATAGCAGGGCAAAAAGTTCAGGAGATGCCATCTCAACCAATCGAAGCTGTATGTGGCCTGTCAGTCCATCCTCATGGGAGGGAAGTGTTACTAGGCAGAGTGAAGTATAAGTAAGAATAGTATGGTCCAGGCCAGTCTGTACATAAATATGAGACTCTACTCAGAAAAACAACTCAAGCAAAAAGGGCTTGAGACATAGTTGAAGAGGTAGAGTACGTGCCCTGAATTCAACCTAGTACTGCTGAACAAAAATCAATTAGCTCATACAATCAGTCACAGTATAATTTAATGCCTTACCATGACAGATTCTCCCTGCCACTGCTTAGATATCCCATCATTTATTTACTGAGCAAATACTCAGCAAGTTCCAGCTTCTTGGGACATGATTTATTAAAAAATGAGAAAGCAGGAAAGTCTTTTCCAGCTCTGATATTCTCTGATCCTTAATGTTTACTAGAGAGGCCTATTTTTGGCAAGCACTGTGATAATTAAGCTAATAATAAAATGCACTCATGAGCAATCAAATATAACCACTGTACAGAAGTGGTTGAGTGAAAGGAAATGTGCCCTGAGTGTTCTGGAGGCTCAGGGAAGGATGGAGGCTGGCTGAGAGCACAAAGGGAAATTGGGCAAGGACAGCACCTGACCAACGGTTACGCACGATGGAATGGCAGGGGAAAGAACAGCAAAATGGAGCCAGAAATCCCACTGGCTATGCGTGGGAACAGAAGTACTTGTCCCATTAGAAAGGAGCTAAGTGTTGACGAGAAGGAAAAGTGACTGACGGAGATAAAAAACAGTCTGGGGCCAAGATGAACAGATGTCTTCCTAAAAGCATCCCAGGGTGGACAGTCTGGTACTTACTTCAGCCGGTGGAGGTCAGCGTGGGAGGCATAGAGCCCTCGGTCAAAGCGTTCCTGCAGGATCGACCACTTCGTTGCACAATAATCCTGCAAGCAATTTCACCCCAAAGAAATCATTGGTAAAGTCATCTTTTAAAAAGTCTTATCAAGTGTACATGAAGCCCTGGGTTCGATTCCTCAGTACCACGTAAATAGAAAAAGCCGAAAGTGGCACTGTGGCTCAAGTTGTAGAGTGCTAGCCTTGAGCAAAAGAAGCCCAGAGACAGTGTCCAGGCCCAGAGTTCAAGCCCCAAGACTGGCCAAAAAAAAAAAAAGAGTCTAATCAAAATACGTTCTTCTATTTAAAATTGGCTTATCAAATCCATATTCATAACAAGTATACTCTTCCAATTAGCAGACACACGAAACTCAAGGCCTGGGGATGCATATTAGCACATGCAACACTCATTCCTTTTTCTGGCACTTTCACTGCCCCCAACCAATCTCTTCAAGTTTGTTTAGTTCTCCCTCCACAACCACATCACAAGCATTTAAGTTCTAGCCGTGTTTCAACCTGTTCAGAGTCCCTGGGTCTGGGGGAGGCTCAGAGCAGTGTACCAGGAGACAGCGGTGATGACAGAGGGCAAAGAGGCAGTCCCCTGCCCTAAGTCACCTGTGGTGACGTTAACAGTTGGCACTCACTGAGCACTGGGGCACTGGGTGCTACTTTTGAGTAGACCCCCCACCCTCCCAACATAGCTACTCGCCTAACTGCTTCCCAGGACCGAGAAACTGTGGCTCAGAGAATGAACCCATGTGGGAAGCCACAGAGTGAGGGAAGTAACTGCTACCTGACCCGGTGGGAGAGAGAACCCGGTGCTGGGGTGGGGAGGAGATGAGGGTACATGAGCTTCATTCCCCAAGCACAAGACTACATAGTAGTCAGGCGACGGTGTGTGCTTCACAAACACCCTGGGAGAACATGGAGCGTGAATGCTAGAGAGAAGACCAGACACAAGACCAACTGGGTGGCAAATACAATAGTACCCGTGATGGGCAGAGGCCTGCACAAAGGTACTATCAGGGAGGAAGGAATGTGGAACAGAGAGAAATCAGGGAGCTGGGGAGGCAGCTCAGAGGTGGAGTTCTTGCTTAGTATGTACAAAGGCTTGGGATCCATCCCCAGCACTGCCAAACACAACAAAAAGGAAAACCCTTAAGAACGGAGTGCCTATGCCGAGGTTGTGGAGAGGGGCCTGGATGACTGCTGTTGCCAACAGCCACCACGGCCCAACAGGAACAGAACCTGGAACCCGGGAAGGGATCAGGAGCAGAGGACATTAGTGTCCTGGCAGCTAGAGCGAGAAGGCTGCCAGGAGATCCCTGGCGACCAGCAGTTACTAGAGTGGGTGGATCCTTTACTTCTGTGACTATTTCCCTGCACTGAACCCAAGGAAGCAGGGCTGCATACACTACAACCATCTTTCCCTCAAGGTGAGGGGAGGTCACGGCCTGCCCTATCCACACTGGTGGAGCGAGCAGAGGATTGTGGGCAGGTTACCTTTGCAGCTTTAGTGAATTTGGCAGCATTGTAGTCTCCCCCCATCCGCAACACATCCTCGGTGCAATAGTAGAACTCAGAGAAGCCATAGAATTCACTGTTCTGGAAGTGAATTGGAGGCTGGTAGACGCCATTGAGGGATGTCTGTGTCTCATTGGTTTTGTTCATGAAAGGCTGGAGGGTTTCTCGACACAGATCAAAGTCTCCTGTTCCCCGCAGGTACAAGGTCTGTCCATTTTGTCGGATTTCATCTTTAATGTCCAGGGGCAGGCATGGGTCCAGGTAGGGAGCATCACGGGTCAGACCAGTCTGTTTACTCAGGAGCCTGTGGCACGAAGAGCCATTTTATCATGAGATCTAGGTTGCATTGTTTTTGTCAACTGGCTATAAGCTAGCATTTTTCCTATCTGTGGGATAGATTCCACAGGTCTGCATCTGTTGTACACAAAGGGCTCCAAAAATAGTTCAGAGATTTGGTACCCAATCCCTTCCTGAAGACTCATGGTATGTTCTCACATGCTCTAGACCCTGCCATCGAAGTCCAGGAAAGCTGTCCACTTACCTGATGCTTTTGATTTTTTATCCATACTGTGGCTTGAACTTAGAACCTGGGACTTGCTTGGCTAGAGCTCTACTATTTGAGCTGCACCTCTAGTCTACCACTTGGTTCCCTGCAATACTTCTGCTGAGTGTTCACATGAAATTCATTCAAGTACCTTTTCTGATCCTATGTGTATATTCAAATAAATAATTGTTATATGCTTTTTGAAAAGTCGTTTTTTGGGCCAGGCATTGGTGGCTCACTCCTGTAATCCTAGCTACTCAGGAGGTTGAGATCTGAGGATCATAGTCCAAAGCCAGCCTGGGCAGGAAAGTCCATGAGACTCTTTTCTCCAATAAACCACCAGAAAACCAGAAGTGGCTCTGTGGCTCAAGTGGTAGAGCGCTCACCTTGAGCTGAAGAACTCAGGGATGGCACCCAAGTCCAGAGTTCAAGTCCCATGACCAACAACAACAAAAAAAAAAAGAAAAGAAAGGAAGGAAGAAAGAAAGAAAAAGAAAAGTCTTTTTGGTAGTATGAGGTTTGAATTCAGGGCCTCTTACTGGCTAGGCAGATGTTCTACACTTAAGCCATACTTCCCCATTGCCATTTGCTGCACTTCTTAGGTAGGGTCTTGCATTGTTTGCCCAGAGCCAGCCTAAACCTAAATGCTTCTCCTAATGCCTTGCATGCAGTTGACAGGACAGGCATGGGCCACCACACCATCTTTTTTGTTGAGAATGGAGATCTTCCTAACACTTTGCCCAGGCTGATCTTGAACCTCAATCCACCTCATTGCCATCTCTTGTTGCTACGTATTTAAATTTAAACTGACAGAATGTTGCTTTGTTTTACATGTTTTCTACACTAGAAGTTCACACAAACATTCTTAATAGTTATACTGCTGAAACTGTCCTTTTTTTTTTCTTTGGGTCATGGGGCTTGAACTCTTGGCTTGGATGCTATCCCTGTGCACTTCAGCTCAAGGCAAGTGCTCTACCGCTTGAGGGACAGCACCACTTCCGGTTTTCTGGTCGTTTATTGGAGATGAGTCTCATGGATTTTCCTGCCCAGGCTGGCTTTGAACCATGATCCTCAGATCTCAGCTTCCTGAGTAGCTAGGATTACAGGCATGAGCCACCGGTGTCCAGCTCAACTCTGTCCTTTTTGTTGTTTCTGTCTTTGGCTGGTTTTCGGAGAGAGCATTCTACTATGTAATCCAGGCTGTCTTCAAATGATGGATCATCTTATCTTAGTCTTCCAAGTGTTGGGATTTAGGCACGCACCTTGCCAGCTTCAAAATACTATACAGCTACTAAGCTAACTCTGACTTCAAGATTATTCCTTGCTCTTGGATAGTCCCCCTCCATGTGGTTTTTATCCACTACTACCCACAGTCTCCAGACAGTCCCATGTGTCAGTCCGCTTGAGGACAAGCACAGCTAGCTATATGCTCCAGGACACCCTGTGGATGTTTCCAAAGGCCTCTGCAATCAGGAACAACATCACCCAAGGCTCAACACTGGTTTGTCGTCTGCTTGGTGACATTTCCACCCATCAGGTGAGGTGTGAGTCTCAGAGCTTGGGACAGAGAAAGACTGAGCAAATATGTGCCTCCGGTGAGTCTGGCTAGTCACTGGACTGGGAACATGACGCTAAGGCCCACTCATTCCTGTCCCCAGCTCAACTGGGGGAATCTACAGGGACGAATACACTTTGTCAGCTTGGCTTGGATTTGAGTTTGATAAGGAGAGACTTGGGTTTGCAAGCGTCTTCCTGAAAGCCATTTTACCTGTTTTTCTGAACTGTGTTGGCAAATATTCTGTCTTCATATCTCTGTCGAGCAGCGTTGCCACCAAACCCAAGAAATGTGGCCACATAGACTCGGTAAACATGCTCCGTTTGGTGAACATCACAGCCCAAATTAAATTCAGCTAGTAAGTTTTTAGCTACTTCCTCCTGCAGACATAAGGATGACAAATTTTAATATTTTAAAGCCACACTGGGGCTGGGGGTGTGGATCAGTGGGTGAGCGCATGCCCAGCACGCACAAGGTTCTGGATTGAATCCCCAGCACCACACTCACAAAAAGTAACTTAAAAAAAAAAAGAAGATAGAAGACGAGTTCATTTAAGATCAACACACAGGGCTGGGAAGTTGGCTCAGTGGCAGAGCACTTGCCTTGCATGCATGAGGCCCTGGGTTCGATTCTTCAGCACCACATAAGCAGAAAAAAAAAGCCGGAAGTGGCTCTGTGGCTCAAGTGGTAGAGTGCTAGCCTTGAGCTGAAGAGCTGAGGGACAGCGCCCAGGCCCAGAGTTCAGGCCCCACGACCGGAAAAAAAAAAAAAAAAAAAGATCAACACACAGTTTTCTTCATCTTCCTAAGCCTCTTTCAAAACTCAGTAAGATGGTTTTGACTTGGGAAATTTCAGATACATTGTACACTGTGGTAAGATTAGGGCTTTCTGAAAAAGGAAGTTAGCAATATAGGTCCTATCTTTTTACCCAGAAAAATCTATGGAATCCAATGCAGTTTTATGATTGAAAAAACTGGATGTCATCTATGTGTACGATATCAAGGAAATGTTAAGTTAGTTATAATAATATTTAATATAATAATATAGAGAAACATGCTTATGTACTGTTAGAAAATCATATAAATAATAAGGCCATAACAACTAAATTTTCAAAAACTATAAATAGGAAACAAAGAATGAAATCTACCAAAATGTTGATGATTTTTCCTTGGATTGAGTCCATGGGGATTTTTTAATTTGCTTACGTTATATGGGGAGAGTTTGTGGCTACATTTTTCTGTCTTTCTTAAGGTTCATTTACATGTACTTGTTACTTTATATTGAGGGAGGAAGACTTGAGTCATTTCTAGAGGCATATCTGGAACATGAAACAGGTCCACAGATTCTAACACTTAAATTTAAGACATTGTTTCCTAAGAAGCTTAATGAAGACACGAAAGTATTCTTGAGTATATACCAGGTGCTTGGAAGTACAATAAATAGATTCTATGCAATATCTTATTTAAATATTATAATTATCTATGTGAGAGCTTAATGAAACCCAGGTTTATTGCTAAAACAAAACTGCTGGTGTACAGTTGTGGGATAAGGTCGCATCAGGTCGCATCACTAGGAGGAACAGGGTGAGGCCACCACCCAGGCTTGCCCAACCCTATGCTGCACTCAGCCAGAACATGCTTCTGCAGCCCTGGCTCTGGGGACAGTGTAGGAGACCAGGCTTTGGGGTATACCTGCAGATGGGCCAGAAAGAGGGCTAAGGGACACGTGTCAGTTCAGGGACACACAGGGACATGATCTGGTGTTCTCTGTTCAAGGACACAGGGGAAAGATGGAGGTGTGGATAGTAAAGATAACCCTTCCAGGAACGTTCAAAGACACTGAGCCACTTAAAAAAAAAAGATTTCTCCAATTATAACTTAAAAAAAATCTGATGTCACTAACTTCAGTTTTTAAAAGCCTGTTGAGAAAGGAAGTGATGAAAATGTAAACCTCAAGCATGTGACTGACACATATACCAAAGAGAAACTCTATGTTCAGAAAACAAACCAGCTGGACTCAGTGCACAAATGCCATGGCTTGGCCGAGGCCTGCCTCCTCCTCCTGCCTCCTCCTTCTGGGCTGAGAAGGTGAACCTCAGCAAACAATCTACAGACGAGTCAGACTCAGGAAACAAAACAGAAATGGATGGAGACATGTTAAATGAAAACCAAACCAAAAAGAAGGCAATTTGTACAGATAATAACCTGCTGTGAGGAGGCAAAGCTTACAGTTTTGGGGACTTCGTATGCTATCTGAGTGGACACGCCTCCCATGTCGAGAATACCCGCTGTCCTTTTCCGGATGATGGCCTCGCTGCTCTCACTCCCAGGAACATTAACTTCCACAACGGCCTCATCATCTGGAAAGAACATGAGCACTGAGCACAGCACTCACTGAGCACTGGGAGCTGTGGGTTCCCGCGGACTTCCACGCTATCTAGTACAAGGCAACCTCATCTTTTCCTCCCAAGGAAGGCCATGTTTAACTGGGTTAACTTTTTGCCTCATTCTCAGCAGAACCACGGAACTTAGCTCCTTTCTCAGCCTCTGCATTAAACAGAAAAACCACACTTCCCTGTAGGACACACCAGAAGGAACCACGAAACTTACCCTCCTCAATATGCTCGAATCGTCCCAGGACAAAGTTAATGCCAATCCAAGCATACACACCTGTAGGTGTAAAAATAAGAAAACTGAAGTTTTAAATCTCTCAATACAGTCTGTGCAAAATCCTATTTGTTTTAATCAGTAAAAATATCTCCTAAAAACCAACATATTTCTTCTGGTTTTTCATCCTTTTCTAATGGATTCTCAAGAGCTTCAAGTTCCATATTTATAGTTTTATATCATTTATATAGGTTTAAAATAAAATTCCTCAGTAGCTCACTTCCCCCTTAAATTTTATGGGTTACAAAATACTAGAGATTTTACTTTTTATGATACTTTATTTTCATATGAAATTTAACTTATCAATTGCTCGGTTTTTCATTCATTTGTTTACTTACTTATGTATTTTTCAGTCCTGGCTAATGAACAGGTTTTAAAAACCTAAGTTACAGTCAGGAGCCAGTGGCTTATGCCTATAATCCTAGCTATTTAGGAGGCTGAGCTCTGAGGATCATGGTTCAAAGATAGCCCACACAAGAAAGTTAGTGAGACTCTGATCTCCAACTACCCATCAGAAAATAGGAAGTGGAGCTGTGGCTCAAAGAATGCTAGCCTTGAGCAAAAAAGCTCAAGGACAGTGCCCAGACCAAGTTCAAGCCCCAAGACCAAAAAACAAAACAAAAACAAAAAACAAACCCATTGTCTTCTATCAAGCCTTTCCTATCTCTTGCATTTATTCACTCTTGCCAGCTTTGATTCTACTTTCAAAACATTTCTTAGAGACAATTTTACCCAGGTTTAAGTAAAACTGATTTTTATCTTGTCTTAGATTACTACAGAAAGAAAAGGTGACAGTCCATCTAATAATCTTCCTGGCCCTGCCTATCCTCTATTGTTGGGCTTATCTACTGAACAAAGCTGGAATGGTATAATCCACGCACTAAAGATCAACTGCCAACCCAAACTATTCTACCCAACGAAGATACCAGACACTATATACATCAGATGGTGAAACCAAAACCTTCCATGACAAACAAAAATGAAAGGAGTTCATGATCACCAAACCACATTACAAAGAATTCTAAAGGGAGGGATACAAAGTCTAAACTCTTGACTGACAATTCAAGACCTGTCTCATTTTCAGTATTGTCATTAGCTCCCCAGGAACCAACCAAGTGAAAACCCCTATGTGTCTACCCATAATGCATCCTGTCCGCCCTGCAGTGATTGGACCATTTCTTCCACTGGGACTCTGCTTCCTCTCCTTCCTCAGAGCCCTCCCCTTATCCTGCTCTGGTGGTTTGATTTACAACTATCCCTTAGGGCATAGTCAGACAGAGGCTAATTTCTTCAGATTGCCTCTTTAAAACACCCATGTTATTTTCTCTTCATTTTCTTTTGGCCCTGTACGTAGCTCAATGGTGGTCCACTCTATTCTGTATTCCTGTAGTGTCTATCATATAGGAAGTACTGATTGGCTGAGATGAAAGTTTTGAAATTAATATTGCACATTTGGATGTCTATGTCTATCAAACTATTGCCCAATTTCACTGACTTATTTCATTCTCAAGTAGAATAATTTTTTTTTTTTTGGGTCCGGTCATGGGGCCTGAACTCTGGGCCTGGGCACTGTCCCTCAGCTCTTCAGCTCAAGGCCAGTGCTCTACCTCTTGAGCCACAGCGCCACTTTTAGCTTTTGTTCTTTTTGCTTATGTGGTGCTGAGGAATCAAACCCAGGGCCTCATGCATGCAAGGCAAGTGCTCTACCACTGAGCTACCTTCCCAGCCCAAATTTCTTTAAAAATAAAACTATTTTCTCAGTAAATCAAAGTTAAGAATTTCTTCTTGGGGTTGAGGGCATGGCTCAGGTGGTCAAGCACCAGCCAATGAGTAAAAACATCAGATACTGAGTTTGAGTCCAGTCTTGAACAAAAAAATAGTAATAATTTCTTCTTGCCAGTGAGTAATTCAGGGGTTCTAATACCTAAGCAATTACAACCCCAAAAGCCTTATCAGTGAGATAAGGAATGTAAAACTTCTCTTTCACAATGAGTTCAAAACATGTTCCTGAAACATGGTGATGACAAGCTGAGGGTTTTTTTTTTTTTTGAGTTTAAATTTTAAAATTCGTTATATAAACTATGCAGGAGGATTTAACTGATATATCTCCACGGACATTTATATTGTATTCCAATCAATTTCACCTCCTCTATCATACTTCCCATCCCAGTCTCCCTAAAATAGCGTCCTAAAGATTTCCTTTTCATAGAAACTGGATTTTTAAAAATAATAATAGTATTTAAAAATAGTATTTAAAAATAGTATTTCAAGGTTGTGATATTGCAAATTTTAAACTATTGAGTAATTTAATACACTGGGGAGAATGGGGAGGACTGAAAGGAAGAGGTTCGCAGATTCTAAGTTGAAGGCTGAGATACCAACCTTCTTGCTTCCCTGAAATGACTTCAGCATGGGAGTCAGAGAACAGGAAGTCGAAGTGCACGGGGATGTCCGTCAGGAGGTCTTCCAGGATGGCCTTCTGCTGGCTGCAAGGTAACCCAAATCCACACACCAGGGTTACAGCTCAACTTTTATGCTTTGCAAAGAAACCACAACCCAAACCATGGATCTGATCTAGGCTGCATGCAATGATTTTAAAACCAAAGCAATTCATTGGAAAGATGATTTATTTTAGAATAGTTTTTTCAAAATAAGCAAGTAGTGATGTAAAACTGCAACTACAAAGACAAATAATAGAATTGATTGGTTTTAAAATGTTAAGTTTAAAATTTATAGTCATAAATGGATTAAAAGGTAGTTGGTGGGTTTTGGTTGGGGGACCAGTTCATATTTGGGGGAAGAAGTTTGAAGGTCTTGCTTTTGATGAGTATGAGGAGGGAGGAGGAGGAAGAAGACAGGAGGAGGGGAGGATCACCTTTCAGGGAGGACTCTCATGCCAGCTGTGCAGAGAATGTAGAGGGGTGTCTCTTTGTGTTTAGCCCGTGGCACATGCTCAGCAGCAAAGTTCAAAAGTGGAGAAATGTAATCACTGACTTTCTCTGGGGACGTAGCAAACTCTGAGATGCCTGGAGAAACAGGACATTCCAATTAACAGGCCATTCCTTAGCTAACACAGCAGTCAGGGAAAAATCTCAAATTGTACTCTATATTCTCTTCGCTTCCCATATTCCTCTTCTCTCAAAGACTTTTTCCAAGTGTGGCATGAAAGGATTCATCCGTAGGCTCTCTTTTTCATCATCAAAGGGCATAGACCTGACTAAGCCCCTACTATGTACCCCACCGAAGAGCTTAACCCTATATTCAAGAAACATGCCCCCAACTCAGGCAAGCTCATGCAGTGCCACTGCTACCAGCATCTTCAACATCCACAGGTCACTGTCTTACTTCTAGCCCCAGTGCTCTTCCCCAGCCTTCAGCCCATTACACTGTGCATTGCCATTGTGTATTCGCACAGCCATCCCAGACCCAACACATCCTAGTCTGAACCCAATCCAAGTCCACTGCAAACCTGCTCTTGCAGCTTTCCCTACTTCAGCATCCAGACTAGTATCCTGGGTAAAACCCCATTCCTGTGCCCCAATGTATAATCTGATTTCCAATGATGTCATCTCTGGTTCCTGTGTCCCTCACTTCTCTTCCTCTCTTTATACACTACTGCCCTCTGCTGGCTTTGAGAAACACACACTCCTCCTGTTCTTGACTGCACTCCACCATTTCTCTACCATGAGGACACTTCCCCATTGAGAATCCTTTGTAGCTCCTTCCTGTCCTCTTCCACACAAAGCTTAGCTCTAGAAGAGTACAGTCTACCCACATTTGTACTCGCCTCATCTCCCTAGTTCCTTCTACTGGCTTCAGCAATGTGGAACTAACATTTCTATTACGCACCTGATTCTGGACTTAGGTCCTCTGTACTTCCACCAGGAACAGCCTTCTCTTCCCCTACCTCTTTCACCTAGTTAACTCTTGAATGTCCATTCGGCTTCATCCTCCATGGAAGTCCACCCTAGCAGGACCCCAGAAGAGAGGAGCTCTTCTAACACTCCATGCTCTCCCCACTGATAGTTCTACAGTCATCATACCATGTCAGGATCACCAGTGTCTCAAGGGCACACACAATGCTTTGTTCAAATCTATATTCCCAGCCCTAACAGTGTCTGACAGAGGTACTCAGCAAACATTTGCTAACTGTGTACAGAAGTGAGCAGATATATACAGCTGTCATTAAGCCTACAATATTAAAAAGGAGAGGGACTTTAGAAGCCCTTCAAACTCCTGACTTCAGAGATTAGGACACATAGATTAGGAAACTGCAGACTCAGAGAGGTTAAATGATTTGTGAAAGGAATTGGCAATAAACGGACTAAAAGGTAAGTCTTTGGAGTCCAAATACAACTTCAATGTACACAAGGATTTAAAGTAACCAGAATCTATTGAGGAAATTTCCAGAGCCTTGCTGTGTACTATATGTGAAGGCCATGCCAGGTGACAGAGGTGGCACAGAGTGAGGGGCCATCAACCTTAGTATTTACCCTGGGATGGCATAGCTGCCCCTTCATTTCAAAAGGGCAACTCCAAGGCATAAATTCTCACCCTCCTCCAAGAGACGTGTCTAGTCACTGTGTGAGGGCGGGTGAAACACAGGGTTTTATCACGTGTTACTTATTTCTCTTCTGTGAACTTTTTTTCCAATATAACTTTAATTCTGAAACCTTTCCTAGAGAAAGCATATATAAAATTTAAAGGGCAGGAAAACTGAAAACTAAAAATTAAGTTATTCACTAAGTCTTAAAGAAACCTTCAAAGAAATATACTTGATACTAATAAGCTATGATATGATTGCTTACTAATGTCTGCTTTAATTTTTTTGCAAGACATGCAGAATTTGTCCACATTTTAGGGGTGTGGTGTGGTAATTCCACTGTGCAACCATGTGCTGCTCAAATGAGTCACTGGGATTTCCACTGCCTTAAACATTGATCATTTCTTGGTGTTTAACATTTAAAAGATAAACTCCTTAGAGTTTGGATTTAGTGTTTTATTGTTCAACCAACACATTGGTAAGATGAAATAAAAGTGATTCATCTCTGTAATAAAAGCCTGTAGCCTACTGACTATAGTCAGTGGCTAGTAAGACCTGGAACCTCATTTTGGGGTACTTTGTTACTTTGTTATCTTCCTGATAGGGTGTTACCTATAGATATGGTGACAAAGAGAAAAAGTTGAGAACTGTTCATGTAAATTATCTATAGAGAAAGTCAAGTTTTAATCTTTACAAACTGTGTTGGCTTAGAAAAGAACAGTATCTTAAAAAATAACTGGACAGTATATTGGCTTTTTAAGTCCTATGGGTGTTTTTGTTTTGTTTTACCTAGATGATTAGAAATATATTTGGGCAACAATTTTTAAAATCGCTAATAGGGGCTGGGAAGGTGGCTCAGTGGTAGAGTGCTTGCCTTGAATGCATGAGGCTCTGGTTTTGATTCCTCAGCACCACATAAGCAGAAAAAGTCAGAAGTGATGCTATGGCTCAAGTGGTAGAGCACTAGCCTTGAGCTAAAGAGCTGAGGGACAGCATCCAGGCCCAGAGTTCAGACCCCATGACTGACCAAAAAAAAAAAAATCACAAATATATCAAAGTGTTAGAGAAGTTGAGCGCCACTGGTTCATGCCTATAATCCTAGCTACTCAAGAGGCTGAGATCTAAAGATCACTATTTGAAGCCAGCCTGGGCAGGAGTCTATAAGACTCTTTATCTCCAAGTAAACATCAAAACAGCTTGAAGTGGAGCTGTGGCTCAACTGGTAGAGTGTTACCTTGAGCAAAAAAGTTTAGGGACAGTAATCAGGTCCTGAGTTCAAACCTTAGAATTGGAGTGTGCACACACACATGTTAAAAGAATATATATGTATATATATATATATATTTTTTTATTATTATTTTTTTTGGTCAGTTGTGGGGCTTGAACTCTGGCCCTGGATGCTGTCCCTAAGCTCTTCAGCTCAAGGAAAGTACTCTACCACTTGAGCCACAGCACTACTTTTGGTTTTCTGGTGGTTAACTGGAGATAAAGAATCTCATGGACTTTCCTGTTCAGGCTGGTTTTGAACTGTGATCCTCCAATCTTAGCCTCCTAAGTAGATAGGATTATAGGCATGAGCCACCAGTGCCTGGCCAAAAGAATAGATTTTGAGTTATAGGCAAATTCTTTCTATCAGTGGCTACAAGTAGGGAAAAAAACAAAACCCTCTTAACCAGCAGACACGTGAGCAGTGCCTCACTTACTGTGATAGCTGCCTCAGGAGAGAAAACACCAAATGCCCTGTGTGTTTGAACAAGGCAGCAGTCAGTCCATTCAAAACAGACAAGAAAGGAAAGAGAAGCAAGAGGGGAAAGGAGGTGTGGAGACAAAGAAAGGACTCTGTGGGGAAAAGACCCTGCAGAGAACCAAAGCCAGAACCATCAGGTTAGGAGTCACTGTGCAGTTCTCATTCCCATACCTGGCTTGATTTTCATCACCACTGGTTTCCGGTTTTTATCCCGCATCTGTCTGATATCCAGAAGATCACGAGGATTGCCATTATGCCTTGGCCAGCAATAGACAAACACCCGTGACCCGCTGCTGCCGCAGTCGACCACGATTCCATAGTTCACATTGGGGTTGTTGGTGTCTGTGGCCTCCACATCTGTGACTCGGGCCAAGTACCTTGTTTAGAAAAACAAACAAAATATCACCCTTCACCTAACAGTGAAGAGGTCACCCACACACTACATGAACGACCTTTTCACCATATAGGGCCGTCGCTAATGCATTCCCTCTGAGTCAGGTACACCGTCATTACTACATGACAGACATTTACATGATTCTAAAGAGGAAACTCTCCAAACTACAAATGCTAACTCAAAAACTTGCTTACAACGTTAGACAGGAGGAGCTTATGATGTTGCAGTGATCGATCCAGGGCCTCTTACACTATGTGTTGGCTGCTCAATAGTTAGCCATTTAGAGCTGAAGGTTTTATGCCTCATGGTACAGAATCCAGTTCCTACAGTTGCTTTTCCTTCATGTTCCAATCTAACCTCAGACATTTTGAATCAGATTGCTATAAAATGACAATGCCAGCATGGTCTGAATATTCATTTGTGTCCCTCCCACATTCAGTTGTTGGGCCCCTGATCACTGGTTACTTCTGGGAGGTTATCAGAGAAAGAGGAAGGAGATCTCAGAGAATCCTCAGCCCCTTTTCACCGGGTGAAGACAAAGGAGGAAGGTGCCATTCATGAACCAGCAAGCAGTCTTTAACTTTCTTCACAGTTGCTATACTGCAGGTCCCTTGATCTTGGACCCTCTAGCCTCCAGACCTATGAGCAATAAGCTCTGTTGTGCATAAGCTACTCTGTATTCCACAGCCCAAACAAAATCAGCTACAAATAAGACACTCTTGTAGAAAATACGCTTGATCTCTCACCTTTGAAATTTCTTGTCTCTGGAGAAACGCCCATACTTATTTCGGATTATGACAACAGAAAAGTATAAAAGTGAGACAGCTGCAGCCAGAACACTAATGACAATGATCTGGCGTAAGTTGGTGTTCAGAATTCGAGGACAGCCCAGTGGAGAGATGCTAAAATGCCAAGAAGCAGGGAAAAGACAAGAGATGCTGATCCTGAAATTAAAACAAACACAACATGTTTTAAAGCAATATGCTCCAAACAGACCTCCCTCGACTAGAGGTAAAACGTCTGCTTGAGCCCCTCTGTCCCTGCCAGCTGCTGTCTCTATACTACCATATTCCATGTTGCAATTCTGTTACATAGAAATGACAATTAGACCCTGACAGTTACATGTCTATATTTTCCTCTTTCCTTGGGAGTATAATTTAGATTCTTACCTTGTTTTGTTCCAGAAAGAATTGTAGACATCTTAGAAATTTAATCAGATAAATGTATAAACCCATAATTTATTCCAGTTTAAAGAAAATAAAACTAAAGGAAGATTGAGAATATAGAAATGCATGTTGTAAGCAAGGCCTGCAAATGGCAGCTGCCTAGTGGACATAACACCATCCATTCATAGGTAAACAGCTTCAGAAAAGTGAAATGTGTGAGTATGTGTGTGTGTGTGAGAGAGAGAGACACAGAGAGAGAGAAAGAGAGAGAGAGAGAGAGAGAGAGGGAGAGAGAAAGAGACAGAGAGAATGTATGTGCGCTGGTCCTGGGGCTTGAATTCAGAGTCTGGGGGCTGTTCCTGAGCTTTTTTTTTTTTTAACATTTTTATTTAATTTTATTTTGTGCTTAATTGGAGATGAGAGTCTCATTGGGCCAGATGCTGGTGACTCACGCCTGTAATCCTAGCTACTCAGGAGGTTAAGATTTGAGGATTGTGAATTCAAAGCCAGCCTGGACAGGAAAGTCCATGAGACTCTTATCTCCAGTTAACTGATAGAACTGAAGCTGTGGCCCAAGTGTTGAAGAGTACTACCCTTGAGTGAAAGAGCTCTGGGAAAGTGCCTAGGCCCTGAGTTCAAGCCCCATGACTGACAACACCCCCCCACCCAAAAAAAGTCTTTCAGCCTTTAGGGTAGCTATGGATTACAGGCATAAGCCACTGTCACCCAGCTGAGAGGTGTGACTTTAACAGTGAATTCCAGGGAAATTTCTCCCAGATGACCTAGGAATGGGAAAGAACAGTAACTTTTAATAATTTCCCCATAACAACATCAATAAATGATGCTATGTCCTGTGCTTTTAGAAAGATTCCTTTGAGATATTTTTGCAACCAACAACAAGCCTTTCTTCTGTCTTTCCCTTTAGTTCATTCTAGAACTATTACTAGACTTTTTAAACAAAAGCACACTGCTTGTAGGTTGAAATTTGTTATTCTACAGTTAATTTCTATACTATTTTTTTTTGTTGGTCCTGGGCTTGAACTCAAGGCCGGGCACTGACCTGAACTCTTCTGCTCAAGGCTAGCCATGGTGCCACTTCCAGTTTTCTGGTGGTTTATTGGAGATAAGAGTCTCACAGAGTTTTCTGCCCGGGGCTGGCTTTGAATCACAATCCTCAGATCTCAGCCTCCTGAGCAGCTAGGATTTACAGGCATGAGCCTCCAGCACCTGGATAATTTCAGTATTTTTTGCTTCTAAACCTGCTTTATGGACTGAAGCGGCTCCCTTGAGGGCAGGTACGGTGCTAACCCAGTGAACTATCACCCACGCAGTTCTGACCTCTTGGGCACCTCAGTGTCCTTCTAGCCCAAGCCACGGGCCTTGTCTGCACCTGAACCTCAGCTGACTGCATCACGATGAGACCCATCACTTACCTCCCCATACTGAAAGGCCAGGGGCCAGGCAACACTGTGGGACCCAGAGCTTCTTACGCACAGGGACAGAAACAGTACTGGGGTCTTCATGGAGTTAGGGCATGCCTGTTTCAGGAACAAGAAAATCAAAGAAGGCACAATCATAGTATCTATGAGAACTGTCTTGGGCATACTGAAATCCAGCCACATGCCATTGCATACATGATCCCTGTGCTGAGACATCACATATCTCAAACACTGTACAGTACTGTTAAAGAAAATCTGAGAAATGGGGTGTGGGCAGAATGATAACGGAATGGGAATGTGAAGTATCCATCCACTTGAAAGATGTCCATTAAAACTCTGCTTTTATGTTCAAAGTACAGTAAGGTGCTATGCCCCCAGTCAGCTGTCCGTTCCTTTCCATTCTCTTCTTCCAGCCCCTAGCCTCCTCCTAAGTTGCTGGAACCACAGGATGTTTCTTGGTTGGAGTACCGGTTCACCTCTTCAGGCCTCTCAAGACTTTGATCAGTTCTGGTCTACTTCTCAGCTGTTGCAATGCCAGGGTCCTGAGTATTCTGGTTATCTGTCAATTCCTCTCCTCCCGTGTTTCCCAGGGTTCTGTCTAGAGTCCTTCTATTCTGACTAAATCACTGTTCTTAGCCTCATCCTGTTGAAATGATCAACCCATCAGACTTACCAGGCAATTTCTCCACCCCGCTCCTCTGAGCTATGTAAGATAGGCATTTTTCGTCCCCCTGAGATAATCTCCATCTAGATACTGCAGACCACAGAAGCCATTTCTTTTACGCAGCCATCTCCACCCTCTTTACTTCAACCCACTTGTCCCCATGTCATACCAATCTGATTCTGCCTCACCATGCCAATCACAGCCTACTGCTGCTCTCCACATCTGATTCTCAGACATATTCCCTTTAACTTTAGCATACCTAAAATTTTCCTACTCCCTATTCTTGTGTTCGTGTGCTGGCACCAGGGCTTGAATTTGGGGCCTCCTGTTCTTGCTTAGCTTTCTTGCTTATAACAATCACTCTATCAATTGAACCACACCTCTAGTCTGGCATTTTGTCACTCAACAGTCTCATGGGCTTTGCTGCCCAAGCTGTCTTTGAACCAAGGACCTCCAGGTCTCAGCTTTCTGAGTAGCTAGGATTACAGATGTGGGCCGCCACCTGCTGACTCCCTTTCTCTATGGCAGTGTGGAGGCTCTCAGATGTTATGTGTTCTCTGAAGTCTCAGAGACTCTCACTGTCCCAAGAGCCCCAGGAAGAATTCTTGCTCTGCAGTGGCTATGCACGTGCTCCTCCACACGGGTCTGCTTGTATTACTCCTGGCACTCAGAAGCCTTCCATGGCCAGTGCGATCACATGCCCCAGCTTTACTCGGCCACTCATAGTCCTGCAGGCCTGGCCCCTGCTCTGCTCTGACTTTACCACCTCTCTCCCTTTCCCACTGCGTCCCAGCTGCACTGGAGGCCACATCTATCGGCCACCACCCGGGCTCTGACCTCACTGCTCCCTCTGCTTGGAAGGCATCTGTCTGGCTCACTTTTTCACCTCCTCAGGTCTTTACTCAAACGTCACCTTCTTGGGGGGGGGTCAATAACTGCCAATGTTCCCTCCCACCTAGCTCCTTCCCAGGATTTACCTTTTCCCTCTTTAGAAAGTACTTACAATAACCCACATTTATTGCAAATATTTATAGTCCTCCTTACGACCTAGTAGATGCGACAGAGGCTAAGTGATTTGTTGAAGATCATGCAGCTTCAGAGGAAGAGTGAGGATTCTAGTGTGCTTCCCACATTCTCCCGCTGTCCTCCAGTAGGAGGACATATGCATGTGTGCAAGTGTGTATGCACATGTGTGTGTTCTGAAGAAATGTGCACGCCACAGGGACCAGGCTCAGGTCGGCTTGTTTCACCACTGTACTCCTGCCTTTGCAGACCCTAGGAAAAGGCCAGGCAAAGTGAACAAGGTTCAGAGCTCTGGGATGCAAAAAGGTCCAGTACCAAGAGGGGCTCCCGCCTGCAGGCGTTCCCTGTCACAGAGGGAAAGAAGTCTAATTCCACAGGGCGTAAAAGCAACTCCTCAGGAGCTAGTCCTGGAGGTGCTACTTAAAGCAACCCACCTCATTTCAAGTGCTCAACAGCCACACTCAGCTGCTGCACTTGCCACAGGTGCACATGGCTGACATCACGGTTCTTAGGGCAGTACTGAGCAAGTCTCACAGATGCACAGTAAACACCAGCTGAAGACCTGGAAATGCCTCCACTCTGGTCCTCGGCATATGTACACTATCCCTCCTGGGGTCCCTTTACCTCTCAGGACAGAAGCACCCCTCCTCTATGGTAGTCCCCCCTGCAGTGGGCTGTGGCATTGTACTTGGGGTTGACTTTCTCATTACAAGGGCAGGGGCTGCCTGTCTCTCTTTTCCCTAGTGACCAGTGTCTGCCATACAAGTGAGCAATAACTTTCATCAAGTACTGTTGTAAGTCTAAATAGTACCAACCATTGAGGGGCATACATGAATATTTTAAATGTGCGTACCCTCTGTTCTACCCACCACGTTCACACAGGGCATCCTTAGGAAGCAACAGGACAGACTTCACTCAACTAGATACAGGATGTTCTTCATAGCACTGTGCACAAGAGCAGAACACCACTACTAATGTCGGTTACAGGCCTGGGATGTAGCTCAGGGGTAGTGTGCCTGCCTAGTAAGCGCAAAGCTCTAGATTCAATCCCTCCCACTACAAGCAAGCAAGTAAACAACCAAACCTACTGACCATTGTGAGGATGGGTAAATTTGTACAATAGATACAATGTAACTATCAAAGGTGATGAAGTAGATCTATATGTATTGACAGGGAAAGATGTCCTCCATATATAAAATATAAAAACATTACATTGTGCATATAGGGAAAATGGAAACAATGCTTACTTCTAAATAGCGATCAGATTCTTGGTCATCTTTATTTTTCTTCCCTAGGCTTACCTATATTTTTCAAAGGGCACATACTAATTTCATCATTAGAACTACAAAACTGCCTTTAACAAACTACCTTTCACTGATGTATCACCAGTTTCCAGCTGGATATATCCAGAAAAACCAATCTTAAGAACTCATGATAAAGTGATTCCAATCTGAGCACATTACAGAATCAATGATAATTAAGTGGTAGTTGAACTAGGCATCAGAGAAAAGCAAGTCTTACTAACATTTTAAAGCCACCATTAGAAACCAACTGGTCCTGGGGGGCAGTAACCTTTAATGATTCAATGATTGGTATTATGAAGAAAAGGAGTAACAAACTGAACTGCATAAGTCTCAAGGAGTCTGCAGACCGGCACAGAAATAAATACTAATATCTAGGAAATAACTGATCAAGAAGACTAGTGATAGCTCAGTGAAGGCAAAGGCTCCTGTTAAAGGAATGGGTCCTTGAAAGAGACAGACAGACTTCAGGTGGGGGCAAGAAAGGAGAACACACTTCAAAGATGAAGTACAGAACAAGCACAGCATACTTAGCAAATTTTCTTTTACCTGGTGCTTGTCTTAGAACTGGTTTTGAGATATATAGAGACTAATAAAAAAGAATAAAAAGAAATTAGTGTAAGTTTTTGTTATTTTTTTAAAGAAAAAAACAACTTGTGGCTAAAAGCAGAAAAAAAGACAGTTCAGGGGCTGGGAAGGTGGCTCAGTGGTAGAGTGCTTGCCTTGAGCTGAAGAGCTGAGGGACAATGCCCAGGCAGAGTTCAGGCCCCAAGACCGGCAAAAAAAAAAAGTAAAAGAAAAAGAAAAAAGACAGTTCATAAACTGTTCAAGTGATTAATTTTATTCAGAACAAACTGTATAAATGACTCCTGCCAGCGGCAATGATATGGTAATCTGATCTTACAATGTAAACTCAATTGTCCTTGCAGCTAAAGAATCGTGGCACCAAAGCCTTGGCAGGCAAACACTAATGCAGCTGCCATACTTTTAAAGTCCTAAACTACCTCAGACCCATCACCAGAGAGATGCATGGATGCTGAGATTTCAGCTGCAAGGTTCTCCTTAAACATCCTTGAGTGACATAAGGCCCCTTTGGTCATGGGTCAGTGTCTCTATGTTTCATTGAATCTTAAGGACAACACTGAAAACAATACAAAGGAACTGCAAAGGAAAATGACTTTTCTGATGAAATTCAGGCATTACAGAACTTGAGTTAGACTTTTCATCCAGGAAAGAATAGTTCAGGTGGTTTAGAGGTTTCAAAGTAGAGGGTAGGAGGCAAGAGAGGAAGAATGGGAGACTGAAAGAAAGAAGGAAGGAAGGAGAAAGGGGAAAGAGGAGGGAAGGGGAAGAGAAATATGCTTGTCCTTGGTGGGTGATCTTTGATGCCATCCTGGGCTCCCAGCTTATGAGATGGTGTCACCCATTCTCAGAACAGGTCTCCCCCCACCCCCAGGTGTAATCTCCTAGGTGCTTCACTGTCCAATCAAGCTGACAACCAATAACCATCCCAGAGCTCTTGAACATAATCAAAATCATAAACAGGTAAACTGTGGTGAAAGGGTCAGAAAAGATGACATGAAGGATTCTCCAAAAAAAGAATCCATTTCAATATCAAAGGATTGCAGGGAAATAGGAACCACGGGGTTCAGAAGATAACTGTCTGAGAGCGAGCTGGGAAGTGCAGGCTGCTGAGGGGCACTATGACTCAGCTATGGTAAAAGACACATCAGAACAACTGGAATGATTCTCCATTTAAAGGAGAATGTCTGTTGTTGCACTTATGATCTATATTTTCTTCAATATTTGTATAGTAATTAGTCACGATCAATCTTTTCCCATTGCTTATTTGTAAAAATCCTGTCCCTTTTTGCAATGATCACCTTTGCCCTGCATAGGACTTCCCCTCAAGTTCTAGATCAGCATCTTGAGTCTTATTAAATCCTGGCATCGCAAACTCAATTAATCCAAGACTGGGCAGTCCTAACACAAATGCTATGGCCTTCCAAACTCAAGTGTAGGAGGACCTCTCCAATGACAAGGTGACCAGTGCTCAGCTTTGGTTCCCAGTTCTCTTGGGCAAAACTCCCTGTTCATGAAGTCCTGT